ACCAGTGCCTTCAGTACAGTCTGGACTTCTTCCTTCAATATCATCAATTCTTGATTATAAGCTACCTCCTGACATGGTAGGATGTTGACCAATTATTTCTGGTACAGTGACTATTCCTTCCACCTTCTTGTGATGCCTCCTCCTATGTCATTCAGTATTTTGCCCATAATATCCTTCACTACTACAACCCACCAGCCACACCTCGGAAGGAAGGTTAGGTAACCTACTTCCATAGTGATACTGCCTTGGAAACCCAAGGAGGGTTGCTGTGAGTTGGGTCCAACTTGATGGCACATAACAACAGCAACAACTGCAACTTGAGGATTCCATTTTTCATTCAGTTCTTTTAGATTGAAAAATGCTGAGCACGTTCTTCTCTTCTGATTTTTCTAACTCCAGGTCTTTGCACATTTCATTATAATATTCTTACTTTGTCTTCTTGAGCTGCCCTTTGAAATCTTCTGTTTAGCTCTTTTACTTTGTCCTTTCTTCTATTCGCTTGAGCTACTCTATGTTCAAGAACAAAGTGCTTAAGGCACTATTATTTGGGATTCTCTATCACATGCAGTCAAGCTAATCCTAGTCGACCATGTAGGACATGTTGTTGTTGTTGTTGTTATGTGCCATCGAGTCAGACCTGACTCATAGTGACCCCTCCTTGGGTTTCCGAGGCAGTATCACTACGGAAGTAGATTGCCTGTGTCCCACAGGGAACTGAACACATGAGGCAGAGGTCTGAGAAGACCTTCTGAGAATTCTACAAACAAAAATCTTACCGGATTGCTTCATGCAGAGGAGAAGGGGAGTTATTTGATCACTGGTGTTTCATTTTACACCAAAGGTTATCACCAGACACTGTTTTTCTTTTAAAACAGGATATGTCATGTTACATGAGTGATGAGCCCAGCTTTCTACATAATTTCTTCATATGCATCACTTAAATGATGCTGTTAAGCAGTTTATTTTTATAATTATCACACTGTCAATTATACTGGATCTCAAAATGCTCAGAGCTAGATTGATAATGCCTACCAAAGCCTAAATGATCTTAGAAGTGAGCTTCTTAAGGTCTACCACAGTTTCAGGGATCATAGTCCAGAGACTGCATCTTCTCATGGCTGACCTTCCAGCACTGTTAACACTAGAGACACAGACACAGCTAGTTTATCCATAGAGAACCCACTTTCTCTGGAGCAGCTGGCTCAGGAGAAAGAAGCTGGCTGGGGGCTAGCTCAACCTCTCTATCAAGTCAGAAGGGAGTCACTGGACTTCCTGTTTTCAACTATTATACAATAACACGACACAATGCATGAAGCAAGCTCTGGTACTAACTTATAAAAATGATAGTGGTGGTAGATAAAAGGTAGAGGAGGAGATATGAGAGAGGTCAAACAATGCCCCAGTGGCAATGTGGACCCCACAGTTCTACTAGGGCAGATCTCCCACACTCTGGTTCAGTGAACTGTGCTGGTGAGGCAAGGCTATCTGGTGAGACCTGCCCAGGATGAAGAGGGCAATTTTCTGGGCTGTTCCACATGGGAAACAACCCCTGGGAGGATGGAAAACTTTTAGAAATAGGTAGTAGTGACAGTTATACAACATGGTGAGTATAATTAATCCACTAAATTGTACACCTGAAAAGTTAAAATGGTGACTTTTTTGTTATATATATTTTACCACAATAATAAAATAAAGAACAGACCAACCTTCCTAGGTCTAGGGGGAGGTATCGAAGATCCACAGGAAGCCTGGTACAGAAATTAAACTTAGTCTTGCCAAGCCTGGCCCTTAAGGACAGACAACCTCATGTCTCACTGCATAAATGCTAGGGGTCTGCTAGGGTAAATGCTAGGGTTCTACTGGTCAGCAGATTAGAAGCAGTCCTAGCTATCAAAGGAAGGCAATGTTGGATGAGACTGATTGGAGTTGAGGTAAATGGGATGGATGCTAGCAGAAAAGAAATGAAACTTGGTATTAAAATATAAATGGCAGCTAACAAGATAATTAAATATCCAATCAGAATTGCAGCTGCATGGATTATTTTTACTGTTATCAAGATTTCATGCCAGCATTTGACTTCAAATGTAGATTAATGAATGCATTAATGTGTTCCTGGGCTTATCCTTTAGTACTATTTTAGAAAACTACTATTGCAAGAACCTGTTGCTATCGTGTTGATTTCAACTCATAGTGAACCTATAGGACAGAGCAGAACTACCCCATAGGGTTTCCAAGACTGTAAATCCTTATGGGAACAGACTGCCTCATCTTTCTTCTATGGAGCAGCTGATGGGTTTGAACTGCTGACCTTTTGGGTTAGCAGCTGAATGACTTACCCACTGTGTCACCAGAGTTCCTAATGCTTTCTTAAGAAAGTTAAAGTAAAGCAGAATTAAGCTGTCTCCCAAAGTTGACTCATTACAGATAACAAAGATGAACCCTTTTGCACATATAGTACAGTACTGTCAGTGAAGGCAAACATGGGTATACGGGTGGATAGTTGGGTGGACAGGATGAAGTATTAAGTATGTCTATGAAGTGGGGAGTGTACCCAAGAACATGTTTAGGGTTGGCAGACAATGGTCCTATAAGTTTATGTGTATGATCTGAATTCCTAGGTGTATAGTAGAGCTGACAAGGGGCAAGGTTACAGTCACTGCTTGGTCACAGTCAGCTACCAAGAGGGACCAAGTAGTTGAACCTGTAGGCTTGGGACCATAGTCGCAGGGGACATCAAGCTCAATTGGCATAACATACTACACAAAACATTGTTCCACCTCCTACTTTGGCGAGTAGCGACTGGGATCTTAAAAGCTTGCAAGCTGCCATCTAGATGCAATGATGGGTCTCTCCTCGTCCAGAGCAAAGAAGAATGAAGAAAACCAAAAATTCATGGAAACAATTAGTCCTAGCGACTGGTACACCATCCAATCTGCAGCCTATACGACTATGAGACCAGAAGAACTAGATGGTGCCTGGCTACTACTGTCAACCACCTGGAGGGGGATCTATTTAGGAGATCCTGGATAGAGAGGGAGAACAATGTGGAACAAAATTCAAAATCATTTAAAAAAATGGGGGGGGACCAGGTTTGTTGGTCCAATAGAGCCTGGTGGAACCACTGAGACAATGGTCCCTAGCTGCCCTTCAGGTCTGGAATTGAACCCCCGCCTGTGGCTTCCAGCCAAACAACAGACAGGCATATGAGTTGAACATTTACCTGAGGTAAATACACTCCTTGGAGAGAACAATTATGGGAGAAAGAAGGGCTGCTTATGCACAGGGAGACAGCTCAAGGGGCAGGAGTGCATGGAGGGATGGACACAGGGAAGAGGTAACTATCAGGTGGAAGTATGAGGGAAAATGTTGCATTGTGGTAAATTGTGGTCAATGTCATGAGACAAAGTGTATGTGAACTGCTGTATGGAAACTGAATTTGCTCTGTAAATTTTCACCCAAATCACAATTAAAAAAAAAAAAAAGAATGTTCATGGGAAAAAAAAATTGGGAGCGTGGGAAGATGAAAACAATCCTCTTACAAAAGTTTCGTTTATGATTTTGGCAGCTGGGATTTAACTGGTCTTGCCTGCTGCTGAGGATCACCCAAGGAAGTGGGCAGGAGTGACTCTGTACACTTACTCCAGTGCTATCCTGGCTGCTGCTACATCAGGGAACCAGGGATAGTGTCATTCAGTTGCCTTAACTTTATTTTTTTCTTTTATACCAGGAACTGTATTTATTACTTAATCAATTTTGGTGTATTTACACATAATTCTTATTTAGGTTTTTTACATTAAATTATGATCCATATCTAAAGAACAGTACAGAATTCTGGATACAATTTGATTAGAAAGAAATTTATATTCCCATTCTCCAATTTTCCCCTGAACTTTTCCAGAATGAAGTTCAGTCCTAAACTATGACGTTTTTCTTAGATTTCCTTACAACCAGAGAGATGGTGGCAAGTTCTATCAGACACTTGCCTTAACTTTTTAAGACTGCCATCCCTCTGAGCCCTATCAGAAAACGTGAATGGGATGGACCATGTGAGACATCTCTTATGCCCTCCTTCTCCAAGGGGTTTCTCTTCTACTTCTTATTACCCACCCTCTTCTGCCACGGCTCCTCCAAAACCCACAATCATCCACCACCTCCAGAGTCTAAAGAAAAGGCTATCAGTTCTAGCTTAGCCACTAATAAGGAGACAAGCAACTTATAACTCATCTGTGAAGTTTAGACAAGAAAATTTCTAAGGGTCCTTTCAATGTTCTGATTCCTACATGAAAGAACCAAAGCATCAGGACATGATAGATGGGTTTCCCTAACACAAGTGATTAAGGAAACCAAAAAGGAGACGCAGAAGATCCTCAACTCCTTTTAAGACTCATTGCTTAATTTAGGCTGGCTGAAGGAGGGGTTTGGGATTGAAAGGAAATGTAACTGTCAGAGTTAGGTTTTCTAACCACTCTCTCCAAAGTGACAAGCCCAATGGGCAAGAGACGAAGAAGGTAGATGGAGAAATCAAGGTCTTGGAGTTCTTATTGGCCCATTCCATTGCCTCCTACATGAGATGGATCCTGGGGCCACAACCTTTCCTCCTCTACATGCCTGCATTCTGCTTCTAAGATATGGCATGTAAATGAAAGTGTGAAGGCCTGACAAAAAACCTAAAATTCCAGCTTTCATGCATGAGAGCCTGGGTTTGAGACAAGTGTAAAATAATCCTAAAATAACCATCAAAATGTCAGACTATAAATACAATTTGGTCATTCTTGTGACACAGCAGGTCTTTTTCAGTAAGATCTGTGACCATCTCAGGAGATAAATTCCAGGCAGCTGCTGCTGCTTTTAAAACAGGTTTAGTTGTGTGTTCTGAAGCCATTATCTTCTTTTTAGCAAGACATATCCACTGGCTACTCTTTTTGGAAAAACAAATAAACAAACAGATTGCAGATAAGAAAGAGCAATAGCTTGTTTGACTTGGTACTTGTGCTTCTTACCCACATATTCTGAGAGGAAGACGACAAAGAATGGAGTGACCAGGTCATTAATTCCCTGGACATACCCACTGGCAGGGTGCCGGATGGCCCAAATAAATAGAATCCTTTCAAAGATCTGGAAAAATGAGAAAGAAAAAAGAAATGAGTGTTAAATCATGGGGAAAACACTCCCTTCACTTCCATTAATCAACCTCATAATCTTTCTTAGGGTTGGTATGGAATTTCTAAATTTTAAAATACAGTGGGACAAAGCAAGTATATAAATCTAAAACATTTCTAAGATACTAGTTGTTTTCAAGCAGAGGTAGATACTTCTTGTCCTTTATCTTCTCATATTTGGTTTCTCTAATATTGGGAAAAGGAAAGGACAGGAAGACAAATGGTGTAGAAAAGATTTGCTGTGGATGTCATTAGTTCAGGCCACCACACTCTCATTGTAGATAGCGTTTCTCTATTTCCAGGAGAAAGATATCAGAACATCTTAGTTCTGATACATTTTTCTAAATCTTTCCTGGTCATTGTGGGATTTGGAAAGGAAATACCTTCTCTACACCCTCCTTCATCTCCCTGCTAAGAAAAAAGGAGATCTGGATCCAGATATAGATTTAGTTCTAACCCAGCATGACTAGGAACAAGTGACAGACTATACATATAGGAAGTCACTTTATATATCAGGATGCAACCCAGACATTTGCTGGGTATAGGAAGTCAAACAAACCAAATCTTACAGATTCCCACAGCTGGGAGTTTGAGAACAAAGGTATCAGCCAGGGCACCCATGGAAAGCCTCTGGCCTAGGCTGAGGTGAAAGGGAAGGCCTTTATCATCCCTTTACAGAGTCCTGCCCTGTCTCACTCAACTATAATCCACTATGTTTTCCCCCCATCTTCTCTCAACTTGGTAACACTTGTTCCCTGGCTTTATTCTGGGGTGACCACAATTCCTGAGCCTGACACATTCTTAAGAGTGGCTTTGACTAGGATGCCTCACACCTCTATGAACTACACAAGACAGATGGCAGAGGTAATGGTGAATACGTGCAGGTAGGATAGGATCTGAGAGGCTTTAGCAGCAGACATGGTAGTAGTCAATGGACTCAGCAGAGTCCCAGACACTCAGTTCAAGGGTTAGACTAAAGACGTCCTCTCAGAGGTCAGGTACAAGGGAGGAAAACCTCCCAGGGAGACCAATGTAAAGAAAATGGCTATATGGCTTTGGAGTTAGTTAGCTGGTATAGGAGAGGAGCAGGAAATCCAGAGACACAATAAAAGATGTTTCCCAGCTCCTGTGTCACTAATGGCTGAGTGGACTTCCAGCTGATGGACAGAGCCGTGCAAACAGCTCCCCTATCAACTCGCCTGCTCTTACAGACAATGAGAGCACACCTCTACTTCCATTAGACCTTGCCACCTAGTCTGTTGATAAATGATTCCTTTCCTTCCCTTGAAATTGTTAGGCTCACTTTGTTCAGGAAAACCCACTCTGTTTCCTTTTTAACTATTATGGCCTATGTACGTCTGTAGTCATCTCTTGTGGTCTCTAATCTCTAGTAATTAATATACTTTCGACTTAATACTTGTATGTCACAGCAATGAGCATCAGGTTAGCAGCTGAATGCTGCTAAAAAGTAAGATCCTCCAGGTCAGTCTTTCTGAGGACTTATGAGGGCTTCCACTCAATACTCTCAATCCCTCATGAATATGCAAATTCTTGAAGATTGACTTTAACAATGGCCAAGTGCATTGAAGCTAGCTGTTCAGAATCAGGAGACCTGCAATAATCCTTCTCTGGTAAGGAAAGTATACTCACACTGTATGAGTAAAGAAGTCAAAGAGATGGAAACTGAAGAGCACCAACTCTGGTTACCAGGGGAGTCCATTGAATATGCACTATGAAAGCCTGGGATAATCCTGCCTCATAGTTAGGAGTGAATAGGATAATTCCTGAAGGTTTTTCCTACACCTCTTCCACTAGTGTGGATAATTCTGACTTACTCTAGTCAATTCTCAAGTATCATCAGGCTTGCAAAGCAAGCCTTCAACCCCCAATGTAACTTGGTTCTCTGCTTCTTAGTTGGCATTTTTTTTTCCTTAGTTGGCATTTTAACTATGCTTAAGATGACTATAGCTTGCTGGATGAAAAAATTATTTGTCTGGGAGAAAAAAGGAAACAAACAACCTGGAATGAATGTAGTCTGAGTTTCCCTCTTCACATTTGCTTCCCTTACTAGGAGAAGCCTTTCAAGCAAACTAATTTTCCCCATCCTCAAGTTTAGAATAAGCATGTACAAGTAAAAGATAAGTATTTGAACTTTTCTAATTTAAAATGAGGAATAAGCAGAGCTAAGCCATGAGAAATAGAATAGGAGAAGCAAAGAGATCCTAAATAGGTTTTAAGCTTCCTTTGAGCTGAATCTTATAGGTAAAATAATAGTGCTACTCTAAAAATCTTCCAGTGAAGACATCTATTGAACAGAATTATGAATCTAATCCAAAGTCAAATAGAAATTATTTGGTCATTTAAAAAAAAAGGGGGGGGGGGACCAGGTTTGCTGGACCGATAGAGCCTGGTGGAACCACTGAGACTATGGCCCCTAGCTGCTCTTCAGGCCTGGAATTGAACCCATGTCTGTGGTTTCCAGCCAAACAAAAGACAGGCATATGAATTGAACATTTACCTGAGGTAGATATACTCCTTGGAGAGAATAATCATGGGAGAAAAGAAGGGCTGTTTATGCACAGGGAGACAGCTCAGGGGGCAGGGGTGTATGGAGGGATGGACACAGGGAAGAGATGACTGTCGGGAGAAAGTGGGAGGGGAGCTGCTGCACTGTGGTAAATTGTGGTCAATGTCATGAGACAAAGTGTATGTGAACTGCTGTATAGAAAGTGAATTTGCTCTGTAAATTTTCACCCAAATCACAATTCCAAAAAAACAAAAGAAAAAGAAATTATTTGGTCATTTTTTAACCACTGTCCTCTATTATGAAGATAACTAAAAGCTCAATTCAAAGATCACTTATCCCCAGTGCCCTAGCTACTAGAAGCTGCAAAGGACACCCCTAACCTCAAGGAGTTTATAGTCACTGTTTGGGTCAAAAGACTTTCACGATAGAAACAATAAGAAAATAATACCAAACAGAATCAAGGCCCCAAATACTCATCATAAATGTGCCATGAGGTTAGGCCTATACCATCTGGAAGAAGGTGAAAGAATAGGTAGCACTTAAGTTTTTCATGAGGGATGGGAAGAATTGCATCTATAATTTACTGGCTCTACTCCAGGACTCTCACAGTACCTCTGAACTTGACAAAGCTTCGTCACTAAAGAGGAGCTAGTCCCACTGAGACTTTCATGTGCCTCGTTAACTCCTTAGGTCTCAAAATACTACATTTCTAGCTTGATAAAGTTGACAGAACATAGGAATAGGAATTCCAAGATGTAGCTACTAGTTTTTACTCTGCCACCAGCTAGTATCAAGACTTGGGGCAAGGTCACAGGGGACATCAAGCTCAACTGGCATAACATACTACACAAAAACATTGTTCCACATCCTACTTTGAAGAGTAGCAACTGTGATCTTAAAAAGCTTACAAGTGGCCATCTAGATGCAATGATGGGTCTCTTCTTGTCCAGAGCAAAGAATGAAGAAAACCAAAGATGCAAGGAAACAGTTAGTCCAAGCAACTGGTATACCATGTGATCCTCAGCCTATATCACTATGAGACCAGAAGAACTAGATGGTGCCCAGCTACCACAGATTCCAATCACTTGGAAGGGGATCTACGTAGGAGATCCTGGATAGAGTGGAAGAACAATGTGGAACAAAACTCAAAATCATTAAAAAAAAAAAAAAAGGACCAGGTTTATTGGTCTGATAGAGCCTGGTGAAACCCCTGAGACTATGACCCCTAGCTGCCCTTCAGGTCTTGAATTAAACCCACTCCTGTGGCTTCCAGGCAAATAAAAGACTGTCATGTGGGCTGAACATTTATATTCAGGTAGATACTCTCCTTGGAGAGGTAAATCATGGGAGAATAGAAGGGCTGTGTATGCACAGGAAGACACCTGAGGGGGGGCAGGAGTGTATGGGAGGCAAAGATACAGGGAAGAGGTAACTATGAGGAGGAAGTGGGAAGAGAGCTGTTGCACTGTGGGAAATTGTAGTCAATGTCATAAGACAAAAGTGTATGTGAACTGCCGTATGGAAAATGAATTTGCTCTGAAAACTTGCACCCAAATCACAATAAAAATTAAAAGAAAGAAAGCACTAGGGGAAAAAAAAAAAGATTTGGGGCAAGTTTTAACCTCTCTAAACTCATAGGTTTGCTATGCAGATCAAATGAGAATGCATGAGAAAATAATGTGACAGGACCAAAGCTCCATATATGAACACAAGCTACTATTCTGATTAGCTGTAAACCTGCCCATAGCTGGAGAGAGGGCCACCACAATCAGCCACACAGAACAGGTGCCAGAGGAAGCGGGGAGAAGGGTTGGAGAATGTTAAGTACTTCCCTCACCTCCTGTACAAGTGGCTGCTGGAACAATGGAATGAGAGGATTCGTCCTTGGAATGTCAATGTGAATCTGAAAAAGAGAAGCCATGTCCAAAAAACACAAATGCCAATTTGTCCTTCTGACACATAATTTTGAGAAGTTAGTTTCTTAAGGGCTGGGAATCAAGAAAGTAAGAGTTAGAGCACAACTTATCTGTAGAAAAAAACTGAATGACATAGAAAAAAGTCTACTTAAACCTACCTGTCCATCTGGAATGTGTTCCGACAATAGCCATAGCTTACTGAGCAGTAAGGAAATCTCCCCAAAATAAACCATTTATATTAAAAAGCAATAGGCTTCACAACCCAAGAGAATCCACTATTTTTTCCTATTGCTCTAGAGTCTGTTTCACTCTGGGCTGGCACTTATGTCACAGGCATGCTCCAAATGCATACTCTTCTTTTAGAATGTTATTAACAGTTCCCATGAACAGGAAGAGCCCTGATAGTGATAATGATGTGCTATGAGAGGGAGAAGGGCTTGGCTGTGAAGTCATGACATCTAAGAAATGGAGGAGGACCCAGGGGACTTGGCCTTCAGTAACTGAAAATGAAAGTTCTTACTTCTGTTACCAAAAAGGTCATTACAGTTGGTTTTGGCCTCAGGGGAGAGGACTTTGCGATTTCCTAATGCCTAGTCTAACAATCCTAAGGACTTATCAGTGGCTACAGAGCTGAAAAAAAAGGTTTGGGGCCTGAAAATCACACACCCCAGTTGTACATGAAATAATCTTTTTCCCCTCAACATATGATGCTTCCAGTAGACCTTTCTTAGGCTGTGGGGACCACTATGAGTGATGATAGAAAACTCCCCACTGAGGCTGCTGATGGCTTCACTCCTGCAGATAGGAAGACATGGGTGCTGAATAGGCACTGCAGCTCCAAAGGACACATTGATGTTACAGTCCAGAGGGAATGGACCACTGCTGAGTGAACCTGTCTTTTGCCTTGCGTCCTATGACCCTTACTCCTCAGTGTGGTCTGTGGACCAGCAGCATCAGCATCACCTAGGAGCTTGTTAAAAGTACCCAGACCTACTGAATCAGAATCTGCACTTTATCATAATCCCTAGGCAGGACTTTTTCAAGATCCTAGGTAATTTGTATGCACATTAAGTTTTGAGACGCACTGCCAATGACCAGTGCCAAAAATAATATATATGTATGTATGTGTAGGTAAAAAACCCACTGCCATCGAGTTGATTGCTACTCATAGTGACTCTATAGGACAAAGAAGAACTGCCCAATAGGGTTTCCAAGGCTGTAAATCTATGGAAGCAGACTGCCTCATCTTTCTCTTGCAGTACAGCTGATGGGTTTAAACCGCTGATGTTTTGGTTAGCAGCCAAATGCTGGAACCACTGCACTATGAGAGTGCCTTCAAGATTATGTATGTATGTATGTATCTGTGCCTGCATATATATATATATGTATGTGTGTATGTATGTGTGTATATGTGTATATATATATATATATATATATATATTTTTTTTTTTCCCCCTTTCTTTTTAAATGGATAAAATCAGAGCTGATGAATGGAAAGAAGGAAAACAGTGGCTCTGGGCAGGGAAAAAAATCCTAAGCAGCATGCTACTGCCTGAAGACTTGGAAAATCTGTACCTTGATATTACCAGGAGACACAGCTGAAGATTATGACTATTAAGGAAAGAAAGAAGAGGCAGCAGGTGATGACTGTACCTGTCTGTAGGTGTCCTGGTGATGCTCCTCATTTCGAGAGTCATAATACTGCTCAATGAAGCCAAAATATTCCTCCCGCTTCCGCTGCAGGGTCAACTTCCTCCTCTCGGTGTTGGCTGGGAGATAGCCCTACAGACAGGACTGCCAGTCAGATGGGGACAGGCACCGGTTGGATGAATCCTTAACTTTTATTTAAGCCTAAGCAGTGGCTTGGAAACTATCAAAGGAATGAAAGAAAAACTGCCAAGAGGACAAGGGTAAATCTCCTTCTGGTTTTGGCCACCCAGTGTTTGCCTTCTCCTCATTCAATGAGATCCACATGTGGGCAGATGAAGCAAGGCCAATTTTCCCAGGGTTATTTGCTTCTTTGGCCCTGTACTGTGCTAAGAGCTGGTGAGCTTCCAGAGCTCTCAGAGTTGGCACAGTAGACAGTGAATGTAGGTCAGTGGGAGGGACCTGGGCCCACATCATGGACTCTGAGGGCTATGTGTGTGCAGGCACAGACTTTGGAGAATCACAGGATCCAGCAACCTCGGAGGTGCATGTTATAGTACACCAAGTAAGCTGGTGCTGGTTACACATTCTTTTCTGGTAATCCAGAATTACCAGCTTAGGAAGCTGAATACAATCTTCAACATGGTACTACCACCTCCAGCCACAGAACTTCTGACAGCAGCAGCCTCCCTTCTACCCAGAGCTCCAGGTCAGCTGTCATTCTTATCCCTGGTCTAGATCCTATTCTCAAATCTTACATCTCCTATTCCCCTTTCATTCTCACAAACTCTACTTTGAATAGCATTCAAATGTATTACAAGTGGCAGAGGCAATGACTACATGGTTGCAAGACTGAGGCTGGGGGAGGGGAGTCAGGGGAGATTCTTCCTCTTGCAGACATTTACTTAAAACCTTCTACAGTGAACACCTGGAGAGCAGGGGTTGTGGTTCATTCATTTGTATATACTCTCACTGCACCTGGCACTGTGCTGGGTGAACAGCAGGCATGTCAATGAATCAGCTGAATGAATGAATGAATTTTACAGGTCTGGGAAACCCAAGTGTTCCTATCGCAGGGGCTGGCACAGTGCTCTGTACTCTGTGAAAGCAGGATATGTGCAGGCTTCCAATGGGGCTCCGTTTATCAACTCTGCACAGTGGCAGAGTTGGTTTCAACCACTTTGTTGATTCATACTGATCAAGGAGTGAAGCACAGGCAATGTGGGAGCTTGCCCCAATCAAGTGCTGAGATCACACTGGCTCACGATATTCCTCCTCTTCTCTGTTAAGAAAGTGAGGTCGTGACTAGAGGAGCAAGCTTGTGCTCTTCTACATGTGTGGGAATAACAATATATTCTCACTCTACATGTGTGGGAATAAACACTCAAGAATGTTGCTTTACAACTCAAAAGAGGAGATTAGATAGGAACCTTAGGGAGCAGTGAGTTCATGTTAATGAGGGAGGAACAACTTAGAAAAGGAGGGTGAGAATGGTTGCACGAACTGAAGAATGTGATCAACGTCACTGAACTGGACATGTAGAAATTGTTGAACTGCATATGTTCTGCTGTGTATATTATCAACAACAACAATAAAAATAAAATAAATTATTATTATTATTTTTAAAGCCTGGCAACCTAAAAACAAACAAACAAAAAGAACATTGCTTTATACATAGAAACAGGACCATAGTCCCACAGTCCTATTCATACTGAGCAGGACTAGAGAAGTCTATGGAAGAAGACTAATGTGCCTAGACTAACCTCATCAGGCAAGAAGGGCAGTGAAGGGTCACACTTCTCTATAGGGTGGGTAGAACTCACCGACAGGAGTCTCCAGGTTACAGGTCGAACCTCCCTGGGAACCCCTGGCCAGCTATACTTCCTCAGTTCATCTGCAAACAGACAACAGCCTCATTGGATTGGCTCTTCCCATATATGCCCTAAAACAAATCTCAATCCGCACTGCCAGATGCCTCCCATCATTCAAGTAAGACCACCACCATTGCTGCTGCCACCACCTGCTACTGACAAGCACAGGGAAAAAGCCCACAACAGCAGCCCTGAGCAGCAAAGTGTCAAGGACACAGCTCTGCGGTAGCAATCCAGTCAGCTCAGACATTAGAGTCAGAGGGGAATATAAAGATCAGTAGGTGTGGATTTCAGTAAGAATCACCTGGAGGTAGAGACCAAAGCCAGAATAGTCGCACTATGGTCTACAGGCCACAGAAACCAGTCCCACCTCATTTGGTCCCTAATCTCTAGAAACATACTTCTGACTTAATACCTGCATGTCACTGCAATGGGCATCAGATCAGGAGATGCTGGAAAAGTAAAAGAAGGAAGAATAAAGAGCAATAGCTTCTGGGTCTCTGAGAATTCCAGTCACCAAGAGGTCCTACCTTGCCCAGGGCTCACAGGAACTCACCTAAATCAGTGTTGTGGCTGGAGAGAAGCTGCCGGAATTTTTCTAGGCGGGTTTTCTCCCTCACCGTCATTGGGGGAGCCCCAGAAGCATTCTGGTCTGAGATCCGGGCAACGAGGGGGATGATGGGTCGGAGAGGGAGTGACTGCTGTTTGTGAAGAGGGTTCCTCAGGCATGTATCACCTGAGACAATTTGGAAAAGAAACATAACAAGCTATTTGAAGAACACAGATTCCAAAGGCTTAAAATTAACCGTTAGGTATTGTGTCTTCTCCCTGAGAGCTGCAACTACATAGTGTGTGTGCCACCTGTAGGTGCCCAGGGGGTTGATGGATGGAACCCAGCTCATGCTCCATTAGTCCATCCAGAGGAAAGGCTACGTTTTTACCCTACATACCAAGGCTTCTTACGTGCTAACACAGATTCCAGATGCTGCAGCAACTTTGAGAACTCTTTTGCCAATTCCAGAAAAGAATCAAATGTTCTCTTTCTACACAAACCTGCAACTTTTTCTCTGTGCTTAATTGTGAGATCTGTGGCACTGTTGCCTAAGGCAGTGCTTTCCTTCCCTTTCCACATCACAAGTACATAACAAATGATGCCAATATAAAGTACACTGCAGTAAAAGGACATGGCCACTCTCCGGCAGCCCCAGGCCCTGCTCAACTGCCCCCAGAGCTGACAAGATCAAAATCACTGGCACAATTGGAGCCTGTTCTTGGCCTTCCAACACGGGGTAAGAACTTCTGGCCTAAAGCAATCCTACTTCGGGGCAGCTGCAGTTCCTGTGTGTGCCTACACTTCCCACCAAAATGAACCCATTCCAAACCCACTGCCATCAAGTTGATTCCGACTTGTAGCAACCCTACAGAACGGAGCAGAACTGCCCCATAGAGTTCCAAGGCTGTAAATCTTTATAAAAGCAAACTGCCTCATCTTTCTCCCATGGAATGGCTGGTGGGCAAACTGCTGACCTTTTGGTTAGCAGCCAAATGTTTTAACTACTGTACCACCAGAGCACAATAAAATGAACCAGCTTTTAATTCTGCTAGGACTTAACTGAATTAACAGGAACACAGACTCAAAATGAGCTCTATGTCTGGCTCCAGACCTGTCTAAACTAGATGGTGAATAGGAGAAATAAGCAATATAGGACTAATATATATTGAGTACTTAGCATGTGCTGGTCACTTTTACATATGATCTCTCATTTGATCCTTACAACATATGGTAGGAATTTATTATTGTCTTACAGATGAGGAAACCATGGCTCAGGAAGGTTAAGTAACTCACAGGTAAAAGCTAAGATGCCACCTTAGGCATATGTCTGACCCCAAAACCCCTGTTTATTTTACTGCCCCCTGTTATGGATTGAATTGTGTCCCCAAAACATAGTGTTGTAAATCCTAATCCTCATACCTGTGGTTATAATCCCATTTGGGAATGAGTTTTCTTTGTTATGTTAACGAGGCAGTATCAGTGCCAAAAAACCAAACCCACTGCTATTGAGTGGATTCAGACTCATAGTGACCCCAATTAGGTTTCCAAGGCTATAAATCTTTATGGAAGTAGATTGCCTCATCTTTCTCCCATGGAGCAGCTAGTGGGTTTGAACTGTTCACTTTCTGTTTAACAACCAAATGTCTTACCTACTATGCTACCAGAGCTCCATTGGTATAGAATGTGTCTTAAATTAATCTCTTGAAATATAAAAAAGCAGATTAAGCAAGGAAGCAGAGATGGGGGAAGATAGATGGCATGAATAGGGACAGAGGCTGAAAAAAGAGAAGGACGTTCCCCTAGAGCAGTCAGAGAGAGAGAGAGAGAAAGGCTTTCCCTAGAGCTGGGGCCTTGAATTCAGACTTTGTCTCACCTACTTTGGTCATGTTGTCAGAAGGGACCATTCCCTGGAGAAGGCTATCATGCTGGTAAATTGGAGGGTGAGTGAAAAAGGTGAAGGCCCTCAATGAAACAGACTGACACAGTAGCTGCAACAACAGGCTCAGGCACAGCAAGGACTGTGAGGCTGGCATAGGACCAGGCAGTGTTTCATTTTATTGTACACAGGATCACTATGAGTTGGAGCTGACTTGATGGCACCTAACCACAACAACAGCTGCCTCCAAAACCCCAAATCCACTGCCATCGAGTTGATTGCAACTCACAGTGATCCTACATAAGAGAGTAGAAATGCCCCATAGGGTTTCCAAGGCTGAAATCTATGAGAGCAGACTGCTTCATCTTTCTCCTGCAGAGCGGCTGGTGGATTCAAACTGCCTACCTTTCAGTTAGCCAAGCACTTACCTACTGCACCACCAGTGTGCTTAAACTGTGAGAAAATAAATTTCCATTTGTTAAAGCCATACATTTGTGATATTTCTGTTATAGCAACACTAGATAGCTAAGACACCCTCAAACAAAGCTCAGCTTTTAATTCATGACTTTTATGTATCTGGGCCTTAAAAAGTTGTCATTACAAGAAGAATTAAACAATGAATACTAACCAACTAGCACAACTAGGTTTATAGAAACAACTGCCACAAGGTACTTAGCTGGGAGGCCTAGTCTAACAAGGGACCTAGAAAATGCAGACCACACACTTCAAAGCTGAGACAGACATACAACTCTGATATTCGTTATTAACAGGTACATGCTCATGGACAGGACCTCCATAAAAGAAATGCTTTGGAAGGCCCTGGCTGCATAAGGACAGCTCACTGGAACTGTGAAGGGAGGTCTCCGTCACCCTGGAAAGCTCTGGAGACCCTCAATCACAGTGCATAGACACTTTCCACAGCCTGTAGCTGTGGCCATCTGGTCAATCAATACAGAATGACTGTCTGGGCATGGCACTAAAGGTTCAAGCTGGGGCCCAAATCAGCAAAGGAAAGTGCTGAGTGTTATTTTAAAGGCCTTATAGCCTAATTGCACGATTACATGCTTAGTCTAAAGCTCTACAAGAAGAAATTATCTTAGAACACGAGCCAGGACATACACCATGGCTCTGACATTTTCTACTTCCTTCTCACCTTTTAGGAGCTCTGGTGGTGTAGTACCAAGCCATTTGACTACTAACCAGAAGGTTGGCGGTTCAAACTCATCATCCGCTCCTTGGAAGGGAGACTGGGCAATCTACTTCCTTAGAGATACTGCCTCAGAAACCCAAAGGGGGTTGGTTCACTATGAGTTAGAATAAGCAACTTTCACAAAACCCTTAGGGCAACAATAAAATGCAGAAGTTTGTGCTAAAAGAGTCTATCAAGAGTTTCCAAATGTCTTATAAAACCACCATCACCCCAAATGGTTATTGAGGCCAGTTTCCTAAGAAGAAACAGAACTGGTATCTCCTCCCACCTCACCCAACCTGATGGGCATGCCTGACAGTCAGAAAGCTGTGACCCAGCCCCTCAGGAACAGGAAAAAGGCAACTTGGTATTAGTGGCTGTTCCCCAGGGCTGAGGAGGCCCATTAACAGTACCAAATGTTTGTGAAATACAGCCACTAACAACTTGAAATCCCTTAGTCCATATTCTTAAACTAGGCTTAAGGCAACATGAAGCAATTAAACCACAAAAGTTTTAGACCTCAACAGAGGGAGAAGAGAAAAGACAAAAATGGCAGGTTAACACTTGGGTGTCTGGAAGTATAGTTCCAGGTCACAGGGCTAAGTGGCCATCAAGGTGGAAGGGTGCCAGTATAGCTTATGACCAGTTAGGTTCACTGATGTTGTACTTCTGGCTTGAGCTTGTTTAATGTATCATCCAATGGAAGAGCTGAGTGACTTGCTAAAGAAACATCTTTTTTATTTAAAATGCATTCTGCTGGGAAGGCTGTGGCTATGGAGTAGGGCAGGATGAACTTACTGGAGTTTCTGGACAGCTGGGCATCACTGCTGGACTTTATGACCTTGTAGTTGGCAGGAACGTCGGATGTTGCTGACTGGGACCGTTCTGGTTTCACCCTCAGCTTGCTGTGATTTTCTAAGACTTGGGCTGCAGTTGCCAAAGCAACCTTTGAGTTCAAAGTTTGGAAAGAAGGTGAGGAAAAGTCCTCTTCCTCATCATCGCCAATGTCCCAAGCATCACTGGTACTCCGGGCAAACTCATGAAAACTGGAGGCCTTCTTATTCTTCAGAGGTACTGCATTGACTTTTGATCGTTCTTTAATGAAGCTTCAAGAAAGGAGACACCATTACCAACAGATAGCCTGATACATCTGACCACCTTCATTTGCTTAGTATAATACTGATACTACTATAAACTATGCCAAATATAATTATTACCTTCTTCAAATAAAAAACATACCTATCCATTCTTCATCTACATGCATCTAGATCAGCTCTATATAGCAGAGAAAGCAATGCTCATCAAATAATCCATGTGCTTATCTATATATTCCAACCCCTAAGCTATTCACTTCCAGGCTAGAGTATAAAACAGCAAGTGTGAGTCTCTATAAGCTCTCTTCTGCTTGGTGACTGTAGAGCTTTCAGACAGTGGAGCCTGCAGCCTGGATTACTGAATGACTACATGGAGCACAGCCCATCCTCCAACCTCTACCTTACCCCACTTTGGACATGTGACATGAGCAAGAAATAAACCTTTGTTGTATTAATCCATTGAGATGTCAGGGTTAATTTGTTATGGCAACCTAACTTAACGTACCCCTAGAACAGGAGATAATTGTTAGTCCACATATATAGCATTAGCTATTGAGTCCCAACTGAAAAAGTTATCTTTTTTTTTTTTTTTTACATTCTTTTAAAGTCTTTCTGCTAGCCTTGAGGAGAAAGTCTCAGTATGGGGTTAACTCTATCTGTAAGACTGTTTTGCAGCAAAGAGAGGTCAGTCTCAGGATCAACACAATTGCAAGCAACAGATCTGCTTTTGAATTTAATAAGATTATTCTGTCTTGCACTGTGCTTACTTTTAAGGTTACTTTTGATTTATGGCAAATGATATTATTTTCCATTTATAGAAATGATAATGTTTATTTTGAAAATAAATCTATTGGAGCACATAAAATGAGCTTATTTTTTTAATGTATTTAGTAAATAATAGTAAAGAATATGACCAAAAAATCATGAAGATGATAATGACTGAAACTTGTGAAACACTAAATTAACCCACTGAAGAAAGAGTTTTAAGAATCATGCCAACCATTCCTAATATCCTGAACTTTTTCTCTGTATATCTCAATCCTCCCCCTGCCCCCAACCCTTATTCTGGTTCCAGAGAACTATCTGATTGACACATTTCTAATTCAGTCGTATCTGGTATCCTTTATACCCTGAACAGGGAAGCAGAGGGTATAGCTTTGTGTAAGCCTATAGTACACAGGGACTAGAGCACAAAGGGGTAAAAACATCATTGAAATGTCTCATTGCCCTTCCTTCTCCCTCCCCCTTGTCCCTAACAAGGCAGAACAACTCTAAAGTGAAAACAAGGCTTTGTGGGGAAAAAAGCTGAAGTCTCCCCATCTTCTTGAGATGTTTCTACCCTTTGGGTAGTGATGCTTGGTCTGCTAATCTGTCCCATCTCCCTAGGTGAGTCCAAAACTTATTAGGAAAGATAGTTATCAACATCAATAAACACAGCCAGGTAACTCAGAGAGCTCATCAGAAGGTCCCTATCATTAACACCAAAAAGAGGGTGAGATATCACTATGGCATTATTTTCAAACACTGGACTCACACAGAATAGAGGGAAAAAAAAATACAAAATTACAAGAGTAACAGTTTACATGTGATTAGAAAAAGATACCATTTTCATCCATTAAATTAGCAAAGATTTAAAAAGTTATACTTTTCAGTGCTGACCAGTACATAGTGACATCACTGGGGGGGTGGGCGTTGTGCAGGGATGTGGACTGCAATGAATGACACAGTCAGGGAGAGTGAGACTAAAATGATTGTCTATAAAATTTTTGTGCAGTGTTTCTGCAGAAATGTATTATTTTTTAATAAATATATCCCTATAGTTAGCTGTAACAATGAAAACATTTTTCTTAAGTCCAGCTTACATATATCAATGTACCTACAAGGGTAAAACTCTAAGCTAATTTACTTTTAAACCTTTTGATGCACTCTGGTCACAGTTGTCATTACTACCCAATTACAATGGCACTTTGAATCACATGGTTTCATTGGCATGACAGACCAGCATGTTGTTGATGCTGGTGCTTTTATAGTCGCTGATTTTGTCAAATTTTCTGGTGTTTGAGCTCCAATATTGTGGTAATTAATATTTGTGAGCCTATATCAATAACTTGTTGAGAGTAAGTCAACCACTAATGTAATTCAATGTAGAAAGATTTTACAAAACAATTTTGTTAGTGTTCATATAATCTAACAAATATATTTAACCAAGTCAGATCTGATTCGTCAGCACTGAGTTTGGTTTTTATAACTATATTTATCACATATTATTCTATTATTAAAATTCCTTATAAACATTACTAAGGATTCTGTATGTCTGGCACAGAAGGTCCATGGGGGGGGCTGGGTGTATGTGCCCATACACCACTATATGTTAACCATACTGGGTAACACCAACAATAATGACGTCACTGGTAAGATTAGTTCTCTCACTGCAGGTGGGGCTGTATGTTGTACAACTCTTCTGAAAAATAATCTGGCAATGTATATATAATGAGCCTTAAAATGGTTCATAATCTCTGACCAAAAGAAAATAATCAAAGATGCAAACAAAGATTATCTAAAACAGTTTACACCAGTGTTACTTTTTTGGTTAAAAACTATAAATAACATTAAAAAAAAAAATCACTGCCGTTGAGTTGGATCCAACTCATAGCAACCCCTCCTTGGGTTTCTGAGGCGGTATTTCTACACAAGTAGATTGCTCAGTCTTCCTTCCAAGGAGTGGCTGGTGGGTTTGAACCTCCAGCCTTCTGGTTAGCAGTCAAATGCCTTTGGCACTATGCCACCAGAGCTCCCATAAACAACATAAACATCTAGAAATGGGAAATTATTAAATAAGGTATGGTTCTGACACCAAAATGGAATGTTATTAAAACTTATTTTGAAAATTATTTATTTACATGAAACATTATCTCAATAAAGTGAAAATGTTGTGTTAGGTGCTGTCAAGACAGTCCTGACTCATAGTGACCCTACGTAGGAAACACTGCCTGGTCCTGAGCCCTCCTCACAATCGCTGCTATGTTTGAGCCCATTGTTGCAGCCACCATATCAATCCACCTTGTTGAGAGTCTTCCTCTGTTTCACCCTCTACTTTACCAGCATGATATCCTTCTCCAGGGACTGGTCTCTCCTGACAACATGTCCAAAGTACGTGAGACGAAGTCTTACCATCCTTGCTTCTAAGGACCATTCTGGTTGTATTTTTTTAATTGTGATTTGGGTGAAAGTTTACAGCACAAATTCATTTTCTATTCAATAGTTCATACACATTTTGTTTCATGACATTGATTGCAATCACTATAATGCAACAGCTCTCTTCCCACTTCTTCCCTGTGCCTTCTCCCTGTGTCCTTCTTTCCTATGCATTCCTGCCCTCTGAGTTATATCCCTGTACAAATGCTTCCTTTCTGATCTCCCATGGTTGACTGCTCTAAGGAGTGTATCCACCTGGTATGATTGTTCACCTTGTAGGCCTATCAATTGTTTGGCTAGAAGCCACAGGAGTGAGTTTAATTCCAAACCCTAAGGGTGACTCTGGTAGCATAGTGGCTAAGACACTTGCCTGCTAACCAGACGGCTGGTGGTTCAAACCCACCAGCCACTCCTCG